TTCATAGACAGTCAGTCAGTTAGTATTGAGTCTCTCATCTATGTATATATGTAAATATTCTATTTTGAGACTCGAGTTGCCTTTTGGCCAAATGTGTATCATTTAAGTTGTTATGTCTTTGCATGGCATTGAGTTATTCTGTTGAGTAGGTTTCCGCTGAGTTAAGAAAGCCAGGCCAAGGGTTCGCTTGGGGCCAGCAATGGTCTTCGAGTGCCGGTCCCGCCCAGGGTGTAGGCTCGGGGCGTGACAATCTTGATCTGAAATTTAATTCCTTTCAGGGTCCACTACCTTCATCCATTTGCAACATGAATTCGCTTATCTTATTAGATTTATCACACAACTACTTCAGTGACTCAGTTCTACATTGCTTGGGAAGCATGGTTAGTCTAACGGTGCTAGACTTAAGAAGGAACAATTTCACAGGGAGTCTTCCCCCATTATGTGCACACAACACTTCATTGAGTACCATTGTCGTAAATGGTAATCGATTTGAAGGACATCTTCCTGTGTCGTTGCTCAATTGTAATGGTCTACAAGCCCTTGATGTGGGGAACAATGCTATAAATGACACGTTTCCAGCTTGGCTCGAAACTCTTCAAGAGCTGCAGGTCCTTATATTAAAGTCGAACAAGTTTCATGGACCTATAAGTACGTGTCAAACTAAGTTTTGCTTTCCCAAGTTGCGAATTTTTGATCTTTCTCGTAATGATTTCAGTGGCTCACTTCCTGCAAAAGTTTTTCGAAACTTCAAGGCAATGATTAAATTAGATGACGAAGACACAAGAGGGATCACGTACATGGAATCTAAGTCGAATAATTTTTCATTACAGGCATCGTATGAGGATTCAGCGAGTTTGGTAATCAAAGGGCAGGATATTGAGCTACAAAGAATCAGCACAATAATGACAACCATAGATCTCTCAAGCAACCATTTTGAAGGTGTCATTCCGGAAACACTAAAGGACCTCAGCTCACTTTGGCTACTCAATTTATCCCATAACAATCTCATAGGTTATATTCCAATGGAATTGGGACAATTGAATAAGCTTGAAGCTTTAGATCTCTCTTGGAATCGGCTCACTGGAAAGATTCCGCAGGAATTGACAAGAATAAACTTTCTGGCAGTCTTAAACATCTCTCAAAATCATCTCGTCGGACCAATTCCTCAAGGTCCACAATTCAACACATTTGGAAATGACTCGTATGGCGGCAACCTTGATTTATGTGGTCCTCCTTTATCAAAACAATGTGGAACGAGTGATTCATCACATGTTCCTCAACCAGAAGATGAAGGCGAGTCATATTTTTTTAGTGGATTTACGTGGGAATCAGTAGTCATAGGCTATAGTTTTGGACTAGTTGTTGGAACTGTCATGTGGAGTCTCATGTTTAAATATCGTAAGCCAAAATGGTTTGTGGAATTTTTTGATGGACTCATGCCTCACAAAAGAAGAAGGCCAAAGAAGAGAGCTCAGAGACGACGGTCTTAATGGAAGATTGAGAGGGCAACATTGTCTTTGTTTGATTTTGTGGACTAATTAGTGAACTTTTCTGGTTCTGTTTTTGTCTTTTCAATTTTCTGTTTGTTGTTTGTATATGTTTGATAGAAACATAATTATATGTGTGTTATTCAAGTTATGTTAGTTTCTGTTTCAAGTTGATAGAAGCGATCTACACAGCCACTCATTAGTTATGTTAATCAGACTCTTCAAAAATGTCAATGGCTACGTATTGAATTCTTCACAAGTAGTGCATTTTTTATGAAACCAACACAAATATAATATCATTTTTATTTTAGTAGAGTCGGAGCAACATAGCTCATCAGCATAACAAAATAGGAAAAAGTAAAGCAGTAAGCAAATTGATCAGTTTGGTTTATGATTGAAATCACTTGCTATTAGAAAGTTTATATTTTTGAAAATTTATGTAGAAGAGTACTCAAAACTACAGAATTGGCTAATAATTTTGTGGTTCTGCATCTTTAGAATCATAAATCAGCCTTAAAATGTTCTCTAACTCAGTATCAACTTCCGCGATTTTAATTTTACATATATTTATACTTCGTGAACGAAAGTTATGTCTCTGGTTGTTAGGGGTTTTTTAAAGGGCAAAACACTCTATACAAGGATTTTATTTTATTTTCAGGTTCGAATTCGAGATCTGCAAAACTACATGTCAAAGTTATTTTTGATGGACTAAAATAGACTTATTCCTAAAATTTAACTTAACAAAAAGGGAAATATAATCAAATTATTTCAAAATTAAGAAAGACAAATTAAAACCTTTACATAATTTGACACATGGCAAAATAGCAAAATAATTGGCTAAAATTTTTGTCCCACAAATAGTCAACTCACCTGTCAGAAAAATGACATTCCTATTTTCTTTTCCTAATTTTAGTTTGGACACTTTGAAAACAATTAAAGTATCTTTGTCCGGTTATGGCCGTTCAAAGCTTTGATTATAACAAGAAAGATGATTGAAAATATCAGTTTTCTTCGTTTTAATTTGTTTGTTTTATTATTTTTATAAAATATTTTTTAAATTTTATTTTATTTATCATACTTTATACTTTAATTTGTCTCAAAAAGAATAAACTTTTTTTTTTTATAATTTCAATGTTTCACGTTCAAGACTATAACATTAAAAGATATTTTGATATGTTTTTTTAAATAACTTTAATTTAATATTATATCATTGAAAATTCTTCTTTACTTATATTTTTTTTTAATTTGAATTTTTAAATTTCAATATTCCATGCGACATGTTTAAAACTCATTTTAAAAGCATATGATTCAAAGATTTTTTTTTCACTTTCTTAAACTTATATCAAGTAGATAAAAACTAGACAAATAAATTAAAACGAAGTCTCACTTTTCAATACACATATTCCAACTTTCATTGAGTCTCAAGATATACTTTTTAATTTATTTTTTTCAAGAATTTACTTGTTGGAACAACCCCACCAGAAGAAAACTCCAAAAAACAGATTAAAAATCCCAACTTTGAGTTCTTCTTTCAATAATTTTAAGTTTCAGTGAATCTCAAGATGTAATTTTTTTTTTCAAGAATTCACCTTTTAGGAAAACCCCATAAGAAGAAAAACTCCAAAAAACAGATTCAAAAATCTCACCTTCTTTTTTTTTAGATCTTTTCAACATTTTTCAGTTTACTATCTCACAAAAATCATTGAACAAGGAAGAGGGGATTTAACAAAAAGTGGGAAAAAAATAGTCATTTGTTTAGGGTTGTGTTTGGAATAGCATTGGACTTGCTATAATAGTTGCTTTTGTGAAATCTGAAAATGCTAGATCCAAACAACGTACTGATCTGGTTAGTCAACTAAAGTCTTTGTTTTTTTTTTTTAATTAAATTTTTTGTATTTTTAGTTTTTTCCATTTCTGGGTTTTTTTTTTTTTTTTTTTTTGTATTTATGTTGTTATTTGGTTGAATTGTGAAGGCTAGTGGAATTGCTGCATTTGCTAGAATGACAGTGGAAGATTCAAGAAAAATCTTTACACCAGAACAATACCCTTCTTGGGTTGTTTTCTCAAATCAACAAAAGGTGAAGTCGTTTAACTTTTCTTTAAGATGTATTTGGTAGGACGCAGAGGCGGAGTCAGAATTTTTAGTTTATATAGGTTCTAGATCACAGTTTTTTTTGCTTTGTTGGGTTTCTGAAAATTATGTTGTTCGGACTCTCAAAAAATGTTGTTTGTACCCGTTTCGGATTCTCTAAAGTTGCATTAGTTTGGAGCATACGACACTCACCCGTCACCATTTTTGAAGAGTCTTAGCAACATTGACTGAGAAGATTATTTTTACATCTTATAACATTAATATAGGGTTAAACCAAAGCTACTGGATTTTGATGTACTTGTAGCTAAAGCAATGTCATTTATCATAAATCTGTAAACTGACTTATTTTCTAGAAAATGTTTTTCGTAATGGATTTTTTTTTCTGGGAAAAGACATTTAATCGGATAGTGTTTGGTGAAAATATTTGAGTAGTAAAGATTGATAATAATGTCTATATGTTGAGATAATTGTTTGTTCCTTTTTGATGGAAAATAAGATATTACCAAACACACTGTTGATGTCCTTTTCTGTTTTTGAGCACATAGTGCCCATATAAGATCATTGAAATTAAATTGTGGTCTTTGGTTGCAAGACTGTCCCTTTATGGACTTCGTTTAATAATTATCTAGAATACATGTTGTGATTTAGTTTGTTGAGAGCAAACAAGGACCTTTTTAATTTTTCAATTTTGTTCGTACAGTTGGCATGGCTTAATTCTCATCTTGAAAAGATCTGGCCATATGTGGATGAGGTTAGGGGTTCAATGTCTATACATAGTTTGGTTTTCCACTCTATTGCGATTCTGCAATTTTCCATTTCCCCCCTTTTTTTGGTTCTAATTTATGATTGTTGGAACTTCTTTGTTGCTAATTGAGTCGGTATGGGTATATATGGTCATTCAGGCAGCATCAGAACTAGTAAAGTCAAGTGTGGAGCCAGTTTTGGAACAATATAGGCCTGTGATTTTGGCGTCGTTAAAATTTTCAAAGTTCACTCTTGATACAGTTGCTCCACAATTCACAGGTTAGTAGATTATGGCTGGTGTAACCTGCCTCAAAGCTCTTGTATATTGTACTACCTAAAAGTTTTAGGAGTCACTTATACATATGAACAAACTTATCAGTCCTCTAGGTCTTTATGGCACGCTTATGTCTGGAGTAGCGTAACATTTCCCTGCACGGACACCACCACCATAAAAAAAAAAAACGGCATAACATTTTCCTGCCATTTATAGCCTCTTGAGATGTCAAAATGTGACAAATAATTTGAGACAGGCAAGGGTATAAAAGATATTCAAACCTCAAAGAGCATTCCTATCATCTCGTGTCAGTTAATCCTTAATAAAAGAAACTGCTTGTGAGGATGAATCTCACTACATTTAACAAATGCTTGATCTCATGTATATGCCACTGCAGGGATTTCTATTATTGAAGATGGAAGTGAGGGTATTACTATGGAATTAGAGATGCAATGGGATGG